CCCATGCGCACTGTACATCAATGACCTCATTAATATTCATTACAATCTGTCTGCATGTGTGCACTGTACATCAATGATTTCATTAATATTCATTACAATCCATAATCCATCTCATGAATAAACATCTTGTGACTATCTCATGAGCAGATCCTCCCTAGTAACCTGTGGATTAACTGATACCACTTTATCTAACATAAAACTTTCAACATAATCCTTTTAACACAACTTAATGGAGAACATGTTGTTAGCCATTACTTCTTTGCTCTTATCTGATGAAGCCTGAGACTCTGGGGGAGAAAGATAGATTGAATATCCACCCTACTGGCCTCACCATTTGGAGGCAGTTACTTCAATCTTTAGGTAAAGCATAGTTAGGAAATTCCTAAGATATACAGAAACTTGTTTGCAAGCCTCCACTCCCATGTGGGCCTTAAATTAGGGACTTTTTACACTCACAACCGACCAGGCTGACCTTAGGTCAGAGGGGTTTTATGCCTGCAACCAACCTGGCCATATGGGATTCTGCCTTATTTTCTCACAAGTATGCCTGCACAAAGTCTTTTCACTGCTCTCTCTCAAACAGCATTTTTGGCCAGAAGTATATAGGCCTTTCACCTATAATGTACAGGTGAAATGTGCAGAGTAGGATGCACAATGGATCCTTGACAAGATTCACGATGGGATGATGATTATCTTGTGTTCTCTGAACAAAAAGGTAATGTAAGGCATTGTAGATATCTCCTGCATGGATGTTCTGTTGTTTCAGGTGTGGGGGGGACACAAAAGGGAAGGAATCAGTGAAATGTCAAGTTACAAAGTTCTAGTCAGCAAATCTTACTGGCCTTGGAAATGTAAACACACGCTAATGAGTATTCCTTTATATGGGACTAATTGCTTTTCTCTTGCTAGTTTCAGAATTTTTTCATTGTCTTTGACTTTTTTTTTTTTTTTGAGACAGTCTCAAGTTGTTGCCTTAGGTAGAGTGCCATGGCATCACAGCTCACAGCAACCTCAAACTCTTGTAGATATCACTTAAGTGATATCTTGCCTCAGCCTCCCAAGTAGCTAGGACTACAAGTGCCCACCACAATGCCTGGCTATTTTTTGGTTGTAGTTGTCATTGTTCTTCAGCAGGCCCAGGCTGGATTTGAACCCACCAACTCTGGTGTATGTGGCTGGAGCCCTAGCCACTTGAGCTACAGGTGCCAAACCTGTCTTTGACTTTTGGCTATAATGTGCCTTGGAGAAAACCTTGGGTTGTATCTGTTTGGAATTCTCTTAGCTTCTTGTATTTTGATGTTTAGATCTCTTCCTAAGCTTGGGAATTTCTAAGTTATTATTTTGTTAAATAAGTTTAATATGACTTTGCACTTGCCTTCTCTCTATTACACCAACATTTTAGTCATTCTATGGTGCCTGATATGTCATGGAGTTGGTCTTCATTCTTTTTAAAATTCTTTTTGTCAGAATGAGTTATTTCAAAAATCCTATGTTCAATTCCTGAAATTCTCTCTTCTGCTTCATCTATTGTTGAAGTTCTCAATTGTATTTTTTAGTTCATTTGTGGACTTCTTCAGTTCCAAGATTACTGTTTGGTTCCTTTTTATGCTATCTACCTCTTTGGTGACTTTCTCATTCATATTCTCAATTGTTTTAGTGATTTCTTTGTGTTTTTTGTTTTGTTTTGAAGACAAGATCTCATTATGTTGCCCAGGCTGATCTGAAATTCCTGGGTTCAATGATCTTCCTGTCACAGCTTCCCATGTAGGTGAGATTACAGGAATGTCACTATTCCAGCTGATCTTTGTGTGTTGATCTCTGCTCCCTCTCTCTGTCTCTCTCTCTTTTTTAAGACTGAGTCTCACTCCGTCTCCCCACATATGATGGTGCAGTGGCTCACTGCAACCTCAAACTTTTGTGCTTGGGTGATTCTCCTGCCTTAGGCTCTTAAGTAGCTATTACTGCAATCATAGGTCACAATGCCCAGCTTCTTTTTGTAATTTTGGTAGAGATAGTGTCTTGTTCTTTCTCAGCCTGGTCTCAAAATCCTGACCTTAAGCAATCCATCTGCCTCAGATTCTCAGAGTTCTAGGATGACAGTGGTGAGCCACCTGTGCCCAGCCTATCTGTGCTTTCTTGTATCTCATTGAGCGCCTTTAACCTTTTGACTGTGAACAACACCTACAGGCATTCAGACAAGATGTTCATTCAGCACAAATGATGCCTGTAGGCATTGTTGATTTTGCAAACAACACTTTGACAAGTTACTATTATGTTACCTGACTTGAGCCTGTAATACAATTTATTCTCAATATTGTTCACAGTTGTGCCTGGAATAATTTGTACAAATAGTGGATTCTTATGGGAGTATATATAAATATAGAGTACAATAAATTTTGAGAGTCATCAAGTTCAGAAGACTTGATTATTTGTGGAGAATTTGGATATAGAGTAGTTTAAAAATACTTCTCACAAAAAAAAAAATGTAAACTGTCAAGTACTTCAGAATCTGATTTGGAAAACATAAGTGTAGTATCTATTTTAAATTTAAAGGAAGCCGATCTTCAGCAACTTCATCACCCAAAGCAATAATGCAATCCCCATTAAAGCATGTCTGTCATACTTTAAAGATCTAGAAAAACTTTGTTACCCTTATTAGAGTGCTGTGCTGTCACAGCTCACAGCAACCTCAAACTCTTGGGCTTAAGCAATTCTCTGGCCTTGGCCTCCTGAGTAGCTGGGACTACAGGCACTCACCACAATGCCTGGTTATTTTTAGAGACAGGGTCTCTCTCTTTCTCAGGCTGGTCTTGAACTCCTGAGCTCAATAAATCTACCTGCCTTGGCCTCCCTGAGTCCTAGGATTACAGGTGTGAGGCACTGTACCTGGCTCACTTCTTACAATTTTTAGAATTGGCTTTCATAGGGGAATACTTTTTCCTAATGTGATGTATCTGTGGTATTGGTTGGGTAGGGCACTTGAACTTTGTCTCTGGGCACATGCAATAATATAGTCTCTGTATGATTTCTTTGGTTATAAATAGCATCAGCAGTGCTTGTAATTTTCTTAGTGGTATAGGCTGTGGTTGTTAGTGGAGGCTCTGGTGAGGCTTTGCTGGGACATAAGCACCAGCTGGACCAGTCCCTGAATCCCAGAGGTCGCAGCATCAGGCCAAGTGTACCTGTCTTTGGGCCTCTGGGAGAAGTGTGTCGATGCCAATGGGTGAGGTGAACCCAGGTCTCTGGATACTGTGCTTGGGTGTTGGTGGCATTTGTTCTGAGCCCATAGTCAGGCCCTCTGATGACTGAAGCAGGACAATACACAGGTCTCTGGATGGCATTATCAGATGGCAGCAGCAGTGTTGGTGACCAAGATGTGGGCAAGTGCATAGGGGCCCCATTGCTGGAGGGAGGGATAAGCCCATGTCCTTCCATGTCACTTCTCTGCTGAAAACCAGTGTTCTTGCTTAGATGCTCTACTTCAAGTGTGATTACTATATATGTACTCTACTTTCTTTGATGATGCAAGTCTTTATGCTGCTGGTCAACAACCATCTTAAACTGTCTCTGTATTGTTCATTTGTAAATTGAGATAGAACACACTTAGAATACAATGTACCACTTAAAATATATAGCCCAAGACATTTTTACATAGGAATACATCCATGAAAGCACTTCTCTGATCAAAATATGGAACATTTTCATCACACAGAAGAATCCCTTCTACTCCATCCTGCTCAGTCACCACCCACCTCTTCCAGGTAATGCCACTTCCAACAAAGATTAGTTCTGCCCTTTCTTGATAGTCATATAAAGTCAAATATTACGTACTCATTCCCTCTGGGTTCTCTCACTCTTTGCAAGATTCATCCATGTTTTTGCAGGTATGAGTACTTTACTTTTTTGTCCCCTTATACTATTCCACACTCTCAACATGCCACAGTATTTCTTTTTTTCACTTGGTATTATCCACATGGGTTCAGAATGCTAGACTATTCTGAAAAAAGCTGATATGAGTCATTGTTTCCTCTGTGATATTATTTGACTCTCTAGAGTGAGCAGTGTGGACTGTGGGGACAGAATGTCTGGGTCCAAAATCCCTGCTCTACCACTTACCAGCTGTGTCACCTGGGGCCTGTTACCTAGCTTCAAAGTGCTTCAGTTGCCCCCTTCTTTAAGATGGATGGTGTACAGGGTACATTGTACTGGGCACAGTGGCTCAGGCCTATAATCCTAGCACTCTGGAAGGCCAAGGTGGGTGGGTTGCCTGAGCTCAGTAGTTTGAGGCCAGCATGGAGAAGAGCAAGACTCTGTCTCTACTAAAAATAGAAAAACTAGCTGGGTATTTTGGCAGGTGCCTGTGGTCTCAGCTACTTGGGAGGTTGAGCCAAGAGAATCGATGAGCCCAAGTGACTGAGGTTGCTATGAGCTGTGATGCCAAAATACTCTACCCAGGGCATAGAGTAAGACTCTGTCTCAAAAAAATAAATAAAATAAAATAAAATGGAGAATGTATGATCTACCACACATCAGGAAGTCTAAATGAATGAGTTTACAAAGCAGTTAGGGAAATACTCAACTATAATAGGAAGGAAAGCAACTAGGGTTCAGCCCCAGTCTCCAAAGTCAGCAGTAATCATTATAAATTAGGACATCAGCAGATCTAGGAAGCAATGCCTTAGAGGAGGGAGGGGCGGTAGCTTGAGGAAAATGGGGGGATGCTGCCTGCCCACCCTGCCCCAGGTGGAGGGACTGTAACAAGGAGCTTCCATTACGAGTCACTGGACTTCACTGAAAGCATCCCACAGCTCAGCCATGCCATAAGGGGAAAGGTCCTTCTCCCTGTTAACCCCAGACCACTCCTTACCACCTCCCTGCTATTCCTGGCAGTCTGGCCCATCCTGTTCTCTGATCCCTCCCACTGCCCTTCTGGGTGATGTGTTCCTCCTCAGTTTCCAGTTTCTATTCCTGAGTAAGAGTAGATTTAGGAAGTAGGGATCACAGGGTGGGGAATGAAAGCCACCGTTCCCAGTAGTCCTGGACATTGAAGGGCAGTGAGAGGACATGAGTGACTCCAAGGATCCAACAGCCCAGGAGCTGGGCCTTTTGGGTAAGATCAGGGTGAGACTCTGGAGTTCAGGGGAAGGAGTCCAGGGGATGGCCAGCTCTGACCTCAGCTTATCTGGGCTGAGTTTATATCTATTCTTTCAGAAGAGGAAGAGCTGAAAACCCGTGGCACCAAATTTTTTGCAAGAGACTTAGGATTCCGACATGCTTGTGGCCTCAAGAATTTTGCAGGTACACTAAGGTAGCAAGTATGGAGAGAGCCTCGTGGACTCCTGGGTCCTGGGGAGATGGGGCCTGGAGATCTGAACTCCCAGGTCCTGTGGAGGTGAAGGATGGGGGTTGGACTCCTGAGTCCATGGGAGTTGGGGACTGAACTTTGGCTCTGGAGTCCTGGGGACATTGAAACTGGGGCCAAGCTGTCCTTGGGCCAGGCTGAGGTGAAGACACTGGTGTGCTTAGCACAGTGTGCTTTTCCCCTCTACAGGGAATATGGGCTGCAGCTCCCTGGTCCTGCTATTTCTCTTCTTCATGTTCCTTGCTGCGTTCCTGGTGACTATCCTTGTCCAAGGTCAGGAAAACTCTTTAGTCTGGGGCTCTCTGGCCTGGCCCTTCCCCTGTGGAAATGAGGCTGGGTTGGGCAGATCCTGGAAGGAGGTGGGACTAAAAACTGGCATCAGGTCCCTTGGGATTTCTAGCAGCCTCACACAAGGCTCCTCCCACCTGTGGGCAGTGGAAGAAAGGGAAGAGGAGGAGGAAAAACCTCCCTCTCCTTGCCTTTCTGTGCAGTCTTCTTCATCCTCAAAGAGGATTAGCCATTACCATGACTCTCAGAATTGATGACCACAAAGACCTAGTGCAGGGCATGATATACGGTTGATGTTTAATAATTGTGGTTCCTTTTTCTTGGCAGTCTTTAAGTTCCACAGCTCCCTGGAGCAGGAGCAGTCCAGGCAGGAGGAAATCTACCAGGAAGTGACCCAGCTAAAGGCAGAAGTGGGTGAGTGCTGTGATTCCAGGGGTCCTAGGACCTGAGAAGGTCTCCACATGCTGTGACTTTGCTAGTGTTACTAACTCTCCTTGAGCCTCAGCTTATGCATCTGTGTAATGGGATCATAGGGAAATGGGAATGTTAGCATTTGGTCATAGGGGAACAGGTACACAGTAGGCACTCAGTTAAGCCAGAACTCTGCCCTCTGCCCTGAGCTGTAAAGTCCCTTCTGTTCCTAGTCTGGAGGAGATAGGCCAGGACTCCCGGGTTCTCCTGGAGGTTGGGGAGGTCTCAGGATGTGGAGGGGGGTATGACCCACCCAGCATAGACAGTCAGGGAAGGTCCTCAACCCCAAATGCTTGAAGGGTGGGCAGGTGTAAGACTTTGGGCACCCAGATCTAGGTCCCAGCCCTGGCCCATCTGCCCAACAGATCGCCTGTGCCGCCCCTGTCCCTGGGATTGGGCATTCTTCCAAGGAAACTGTTACTTCTTCTCCAAAATCCAACGGAACTGGCATGATTCCATGACTGCCTGCCAGGAGGTGGGGGCTCAGCTAGTTGTGATCAAAAGCACCGAGGAACAGGTATACCTGCTGGGGGCCTCATCCTGATCTGAGGCATGCATGTGGCCACTGGCCAGCTTGGATGGGGATGCTCAGAGGGGATTGTCTGGGGCTGTTTATTCCACTTAGAAAGGTAAGGAGGTTGCCAGGAAAGACAAGCAAATCTGAACCCACGTGGATGCGTTGGACACTACATAAAAGGTAAATAAGCCCCAGTGGTGTGCTGGTAAACATTGGATAACCAGCTGTCTGAGAGAAAAGGTCCTCATGTGTAGGTTTTGCCCATTTCCTAGTGTAAAAATTCCCACCATGACCGATTTCAAACTTTTGATGTGACGTTGCTCAATGGTGAGCTGAAAACACATGCATGACCAACAGTCACCAAGAATCACCATGTCGTAAAATGAGTTTTGATCATCTGAGTATATACCTAGTAGAGGAACTGCAGGATCGAATGGTAGGTCTACTTTTAGTTCCTTGAGTATTCTTCAAACTTCTTTCCAGAAGGGCCATATTAGTTTGCATTTCCACCACCAGTGTAGAAGTGTTGTTTTCCCCCTGCAATCCACACCAGTATCTGTAGTTTGGGGATTTTGTGATGTGGGCTAATCTTACTGGAGTTAGATGATATCTCAATGTAGGTTTGATTTGCATTTCTTTGATGGTTGAAGATGATGGGCATTTTTTCATGTTTGTAGGCCATGTGCCTGTCCTCTTCAGAGAAGCTTCTGTTCAAGTCTCTTGCCCACAAAGAAATAGGGTTATTTGTTCTTTTCTTATTGATTAATTTGAGTTCTTTGTGGATTCTGGTTATCAGACCTTTGTTGGAAACATGTTTATTGCAGCCCAATTCATAATTGCCAAGACGTGGAAGCAGCCCAAGTGTCCATCAACTCATGAATGGATTAACAAATTGTGGTATATTTATGCTATGGAATACTATACAGCCATAAAAATATGGAGACTTTACACCTTTTATGTTTACCTGGATGGAGCTGGAACATATTATTCTTAGAAAAGTATCTCAAGAATGGAAGAAAAAGTATCCAATGTACTCAGCACTACTATGAAACCAACATATAATCATGTATACATTCATATGAATGATAAAACATAACTATAGTCCAGAAAGATACAAGGAAGAAGAGGGAGAGGGGAAGGGAGTGGGGAGTTTGCGAGGAGAGAGGGGTTTTGGTGGGACCTCACCTAAGGTGCATAATACAATGGCATATTTCAAAACTATTAAGAGTAGAGTATAAATGTCTTACCACAACAAATAAGGAAGTGAGGTGATGGTTACATTAATCAGTTCAATGTAAGCATTCCACATTGTTTATCAATTCAGCACATTTTACCCCATAAATGCATTAATGTACACAGTCAGGATTTAAGAAAAAAAAAGAATGACCATATCCTGGTTCCAGGACATTTAAACCAGTTGTGAGTGTATTCTGGTGGCATGCTCAGAACATGCAGTATTTCCATGTGTCTTTAAGGAGAGGGCAGCAGTCAGAACACACATGCCATGGAATACAGTTGTGAGAGGGACTCAGACACGTAGGGGGTTAGGACCCTGCATACTAGAAGGTTGAAGGTTAGACTGAAAGCAGGACTTCCTGCCCTGAGATGGAAAGATACAGAGCCTCAAAAATGGGAAGCAGAGCTCTCTTCTCACTCCTCCTCTACACCACCCCCCCACAGGACTTCCTACAGCTACAGACCTCTGAGAGTAAGCACTTCTCCTGGATGGGACTGTCAGACCTGACACATGAAGGCACATGGCAGTGGGTGGACGGTTCACCTCTGCAATCCAGGTAGATCCCCGGAGAAGGACACTATATCCTATGGGATATGGGCTCTAAAACTCAGACTCGTACTTTTTCTGGGGATCTTCCTACACTCTTTGATCCCCTAGAGCTTAGATAGTGGGATAGTCTCAATTTCTTTTCTTTCTTTCTTTTTTTTTTTTTGGAGACAGAGCCTCAAGCTGAGCCCCTGGGTAGAGTGCCATGGCTTCACTGCTCACAGCAACCTCCAACTCCTGGGCTCAAGCGAGTCT